TTACATACAGTACTAGAAAACCAGACAAATAGCCAGCTATTGAACCAAACTAATTTTTTGGCAATCTATGGTTTCTGAATCTTGAGCGCAATTGGGTATATTGCAGTGGGTGCAAAATATATACAATATTCACTCATGATCCAGTCAGTTTTCAGTGTACAGGGATGAGTATATTTTATCCTGCATCTCTACCACAGACAGACACATATCACAGTGTGGAAGAGGCTGAAGGATGATTAAACAAGTATTAGGTATACTATACAACTGTTAGTAGCTATCCTGTAAAGTTTTTAAGAAACCTAACAAATCTTAGGGAAATATTAGTTCAGTATTTAATGAGTATTTTTAATACTAAAATAATTTAAAATGTAAGTGCAAAAAGTTAAGCATAAAGATACTGCACTACTGTAACTAAACCTCTCTCTCTTCTCTTCTACAGTTAAATTGGCTAAGTTCTGTCATTGAGACTATACTGTACAGTAATACAACTCCTTTATATCTCAACCAGCTACAGGTTCCTCGGTTAACGAGCACAATCCATTCTAGAAGGTTGCTCGTTAACCTAAAAAACTCTTAACCGAAACCATTGTTTCAATGGGTTTTTGGGTAATGGGTTCCAGCTCACCGAAAATTGCCTAAATTCAACAAAAAGGTAGAAAAGTACACTTACTTTGAGGTGTGTATGTAGAAGGCTCCTGGATGATGATGATGATGAATGATGATGATGATGATGATGATGGGAATTAGAATGGGGTGGAGGAGAAGGAGAAGTCACCCCATGGCCCATTTTCACCCATAAAATTTTAGTTCTCTTGGTGTAATTCAAGATTATTTTTAAATCAACACTGCACTGCATTATATATGGTCAATATGAAAATAAATTTCAAAATTACCAATAATTTGCTTGTAAACACAGAAAAAGCATTTAGTTGAAGAGAGTCTCAAGCAAGATGTTGCTTCCACTGAAAAGACACAAAGACTGACTCCTGTATGCTGTGTTAGGCTGGATGGCGTGCTACAAACTAGTGACCCTACTCAATTATTATGTTCAATAATTGTTAAAATGACAAAAAATTTAATATTAAACTTTTAAAATTATTGAATAGTATAACCTTCTTGATATTTACTAAAGGGTAAGGAATTTAAGCCCTAGAACCGACATTGTATTGGCGACTAATACTACAGCTGGTGGACCGCCAAATGTAAGCTCAAAACATGTGGAGGTCGGTTCAGAAGAAACTCTTAGAATCGAGGATTGCTCGCAACCGAGTTAAGAATCTTATGGAAGGTAACTCGTTAACCGAAATCTCGTTAACCGAGGCGCTCGTTAACCGAGGGACCACTATATTGAGAAGCTAAGGCGAGTAATGATTGATATGTTGTCAAATTTAAATATCTTGCATGTATTTTTCTCATCAACAAGTTCACCAGATATCAGTCAGTACAATAACTCCTTTATATAAAAAAGCTTGCAATTTTACTTTTGTTGAAATATATTATTAGGTACAGTAGAGATAAGCTTCATATGGAAAACATCAAAAGGAACAATGAGCACACATCTCAGTACTGTAGTTAACCATCAAAGATTCTGAAAATCAATCATAGTATGGTAGACTTCACAGAAATCATATATTTCCACTACAGTGTCAAGTTTTGCCATAAAGAATGCCACTAAAATAACATAACAGCTCATTAACAAGAGGAATGAGCATTATGTGTATGTATAACTAGATGCTTGTACTGTATTGTGTATTTTGTTGGCTATTAATTGTTAGCAAGAAGGAAACAAAAAGAATCAAGCAAAATGCTTCCTGACAACATTTAACTCACTGGTGCACTAATGGAAGTAAGAAGAGTCAAATCATGTACTTATTGTATAAAGGGCATTAATGTACACTCACAAGAAAGTCCAGTTGCCTCACCTGCCTCTTCATGAACCCAGAGAATCAGAAACCTGCGAGGCTTCTGAATCTCTGGGTTCATGAAGAGGCAGGACTTTTGTTGATGAGTGTACATCTTATATCATAAAATACGAGACAGTCAATTGGCTATAAATATTATTAAGCTTACATTACTTGGAACATTGGATTGTATAATGGACAATTAATGATATACCATTAAGTATCTTGCTGTCAGTAAATTGCATTTTAATCTACTCAAAGGAAAAGTGTGCTGCTTCTAAGTTTGTTGACTTGGATCATACCCCATTGGCTACTGAAGAGTTAAGTTATACCCAGGAGTGAAGTTAGGAAGGAACAACTCACAATACAGTAGAAAACATAATAGATCAACCTGAAGCCCAGTATAAGTGAGCTACAGCGGCACTATATGTAAACAGGCACCAGGACAAAACAGTTCCAACTTTACCCTGAACCAGCCTTGCCATGCTGAGACAGCTGCATCATTCCTCTGCTGGCCACGATATTCTGCTGCCCCCACATCAGCAACGCTGTTTGGCTTTGCCTTTACAACAAAAGTTTCGTCATTGTCAGCAACGACCGTTTCATCTTTTGACTGTTCAGTAGTTTCAGATGGCACTTCTTCAACTGGCTGAAGAGATCCCACGCTTCTCCACTTCAGTAGAATCTTCTTTCTTTGTAAATAAATCTATGATCCTGTCCATCAGTGAAGACTTTGAATCACTCACCACCTCACTTGAACCAGATTCACTCTTCCCAGAGACATCTTGGCTGATTGCTGTTGCCTGAGGTAAGGTTTCTGGTTCAGATTTAGCTGGAGACTCACCAATTGATATCAAATCTCCTTTCTTATCATCACCTGACACTAACTCAGCCAATCTATCAAAGAGACCCTTGTTCTTCACTTCAAATACAGGTTCTTCTGCATTCACCACAGCTGCATTTTCAGAAGGCACTTTAGTCTCACCTGATGGTGACACTGGTGTGTCATCCAAACCTCCTTCACCAGAAATTACTACAAAAGAAGACTGAACCTGTAAATCCTCTAGCTCAGCTGATGGTGAAGATTTAATTATTTCTGAACTCTCAGATGCATCTCCCACTTGCTCAGAAACTTTTTTCACCACTGAATATACCAGCTATCTTATCAAGCAGAGAAATCGTTTCAGGGACAACAACAGCATCTGGCTGCTCAACTGCTAATACACTGGACTTCTCATTGGATGTGTCAGAGACCTTTACTGGTATGGTGCTTGTTTGTTCACCAAGTTCTCCTTGGTCAGTGTGTGATTCTTCCACTTTTTCAACAGCATCAGTGTCTTTGTCTTTCTTTGAGAAAACATTTACCAGTTTGTCAAAGAGACCTTCCCTTTCTTCTGTGGCTGATAATGGTTCACCTTCATTGGCTTTGAAATCTACAATTTCCTCTTTTACCTCTTGTTGTTGAGGTAAACCTACAGGTGCTTCCTTCATTTCCTCAGCAGCAGACTTATCCTCTGGCACTTGTTCAGCTGTGATTTCCTTATTTACATCTTTGGATAACATGCTGGCAAGTTTGTCAAATAAACCTTCTTTCTCAGCTGTTGGTGCTACAGCATCAAGTGGTACATCTGATGACTTTTCATCCAATTCCTTCATCTCAGAAACTGGTGCAGGATCTTCAGTTAGAACATCTTTCTCTCCATCATCTTTAGAAAATACTAGAAAGTTTACTGAGAATACCTTCTTTCTCACTGGATGTTGGCAAGGTTCCCAACTGGTTCTTGCAGCTTGACATCAATCTGATCGGATTTGACTTCTTCCTTCACTTCAGTAGCTGGTACATCTACTGCTACTGACACATCTCCCTTACCTTCAATTACAGCAGCTGTTACTGACACTTCTCCCTTATCTTCTATTACAGCAGCTGTTACTGAAACATCTTTACTTTCATCTTTACTTAAAATATTCACAATTCTATCAAACAGACCTACTGTCTTAGATGGTGAGAGAGTGTCAGCTGTTGGTTCACCTGTTTCAACAACTGAAAAAGATGATGATTGTTCACTAGCAACTTCTGCTATTATATCAAGCTTGGCTGGTTCCTCCATCTTAACTTCTGGTACATCTTTCTTATCTTCATCTTTACTCAGGGAACTTACAAGTTTACCAAACAGACCTCCTTCCTTTGCTGATTCTACTGTGTCTCAACAACAACAGAAGCAGCAGGCTGTTCCTCTGCTTCCTTTTCCATAGTGTCTAATGCTGAACTTAATTCTTCTGCTTTCATATCCAACTGAAGTGGTTGATCTCTCTTGACTTCAGTTACAACATCTAATGATGGAACAGCTTTAGTTTCTTCAGCTACATCTGCAACTGAAGCATCTTTATCTTCAGCTACAACATCAACTATTGGAACATGTTCTTTGCCTTCATCTTTATTGAAGAAATTCACAAATTCATCAAAGAGACCTTCCCTCTCTGCTAGTGGTAACAAAGAGCTCACAGTAGGTTCTACTAATTTAACATCAGGTTGAGCTGCTGAGTGTTCATCTGGCTCCTTCTGCTGGGTATCTGGTTTGAACTCTCTTCTTGTACTTTAACATCCAACATAGATGGTTCCTCCACTGATACTTGGGCACCTAACAACACATCAACAGCTACTACTGATTTTGCTTCAGTTGTAGTAATAACTGGTTCAGCAGCAGTTGCTCCTGCACCAGTGGGCAGCTCCTCAACACTTTCTGTCTTTTCAACAATAGGTATTTCAATTGGTTCAACAAAATGACTGTCTTCCCTTTTTCTCTTTTTAGAAAATAAGTCAGCCAATTTATCAACCAGGCCTTCTTTTTCATCTCCAGCTTCTGGCACATCAATATATGGCAGCTTTATATCCTCAGAAGTCTCTTCCTTTACACCTGTATCAGTTAAATCTGAGGCTGGTTCCTTCACCTCACCAGCAGATGTAGACACTTCCTTTTCTTCATCTCTGGAGAATAAACTTAATAATTTATCAACCAGTCCTTCTTTCTCTTTTACAACAATTCTAGTGTCAGCACCTGGCTCTTTTATTTTCTGAACCACTTCCTCCTCCTCTTTTACAACAATATTTGTGTCTGTACTTGGCTTTTCTACTTTCTCAAGCACTTCATCCTTCCCCTCTTCTGTTACAGCCTCTACAGGTGGTTCCTTGATTTCCTCAGTGACTGGTACAGCCACTGACTTTTTACTAACTTCTGCCAGGTCCTCATTTCTTCCTTTTTGAGAAAACACTGACAAATTTATCAAACAAACCTTCCTTTACAACTGCTTTTCGGCAATGTCTTCCACTAATGTTTCACTTGCCAACTTCTGCCCTGCTTCTGTTTCCTGGGTGCTTCCTTCCTGCTCAGGTTCTTCTGACATAGTCTCACTTTGGTCTTTTAACTCTTTAGCAAGTACTTCATCAGATGATGAAATCCCGAAGACATACTCAATAACATTTTCAACTAGTTCTTCTTGCTTCTCCTTGCTCCCAACAACTAGTTTAGCATTCTCCGTTTCAATTATTCGAGCTTCTTCTTTTATTATTTCAACAACATCCCCTACGTTATCTGTAACTCCTTCAGATACCTGCTTAACTTCTGCCTCAAATGTCACAGCCCGAGACACCCCTGGAGTCTCCCAAGTCTCTTCTGTTTCTTGTACAGCATCCAAGACTAACACTACCTTTTCTTCAATGTCATCAATCACATCTGTCGCATTAACAACCTCTGCAACTGACTCCAACGCACCTTCTGCAACATCAACCACCACATCCTTACCAACATCCTCCATCACCGGTTCAAACACTTCAACAATGCTATCTAGTATTTCTGACTTTTTTACCTTAATGGTTTTGTCTGGGGAAGAAACTGCTTCACTTTCCACAGTTTTTACTTCTGACTCAGCATTTTCAACTGGCTCCTCTAGGTTCTTATCTGGTGAAGGAGACTCAGTATCAGTCACTATTGTAGACTCAGTTTTCAGGTCCTTAGCTTTTTCTACGGCATATTCTCTTTCTGGTTCAACAAATGGAAGAGTTTTTTCATATGAGAAGAAACTAATGAGCTTATTAAACAAGCCTTTTTTCTCCCGTGATTCAGAAGACATCTCAAGAAGTGGCTCCTTAACTTCTACGGGCGGTTCTTCAGTAGCTGATTCTGGATTTAATTTCTTCTCTGACTCTTCAGGAGTTACCTCACTTGTCTCCTTCAACTCTCCAGTATCAGGTAGCCCAGCAGGTGTTTCTTTGACAAATTTAATAACTTCCTCCATTATTTCCTCCCTCTGCATTATCTCACTAGCTTGAGTTTCAATGATTTCCGCTTCTTTTTTAATTTCTTCAGCAACCTCCTTTACCTTTTCTGCTATGTGAGTAACTTCTTCAACCACCTTTTCTGCCTCCTTAATTATCTGTTCTGCCAGCTCTAATTTTTCTGTGACGGCCTCAGACACACCTTCAGTATCATGGGCGGCTTCAACAGCAGCCTCAGCTACAGTTTCTGCCACATCAAGTACAGACTCCACCTTACTACCGACCTCCTCCACCATTTCTGCTGTCTCAACAACTTTTTCTGTATCTTTTTCAACCTCCTGTGCTGCCTCTACAACAACATCTGCAACCTTCTCTTCTACAATGTCTGCAAACTCATCCAGTGCAATGTCCTTTGCAAAATCTGCAACCTTTGTGACAACATCTGCAACCTTTGTGACAACATCTGCAACCTTCTCTTCAACAACATCTGCAACCTTCTCTTCGACAACATCTGCAACCTTCTCTTCGACAACATCTGCAACCTTCTCTTTGACAGCATCTGCAACTTTCTCTTCAACAACATCTGCAACCTTCACTTCGACAACATCTGCAACCTTCTCTTTGACAACATCTGCAACCTTCTCTTCAACACCATCTGCAACCTTCTCTTTGACAACATCTGCAACCTTCTCTTCAACAACATCTGCAACCTTCTCTTCAACAACATCTGCAACCTTCTCTTCAACAACATCAGCAACCTTCTCTTTGACAACATCTGCAACCTTCTCTTTGACAACATCTGCAACCTTCTCTTCAACAACATCTGCAACTTTCACTTCGACAACATCTGCAACCTTCTCTTTGACAACATCTGCAACCTTCTCTTCAACAACATCTGCAACCTTCTCTTCAACAACATCTGCAACCTTCTCTTCAACAACATCAGCAACCTTCTCTTTGACAACATCTGCAACCTTCTCTTCAACAACATCTGCAACCTTCTCTTTGACAGCATCTGCAACTTTCTCTTCAACAACATCTGCAACCTTCTCATCCAAATCCTTTGCAACATCAACCACAGTTCCAACAAGTTTTTCACTTTGAGTCAGCTGTAGAGGCTCTGCAAGAGACGAGTCTTTAACTGACTTGACAACTTTAGCATCACTTTCATTGAGCTCTTCTTTGACCATACTTTCAAGATCATCTTTTTTAATTTCTCCAACACTTCCAAATCCTTCTAGCACTGTTGGTTCAGCAGGTAACACTACATCAATAAGGGAACTGGTAGCTGTGCTGGAGCTGTCTGTTAGTCACCCCACAATGTTACGTCACTTGCTTGCTGTGCTAATGAGTCAATAGGGGCAGGGAACTTCCCTTGGGGTAGGATCTGAGGTATCACACTCCTTACCTCAGCACCTTCAGGTTCTGTGGTTGGTACATGTGTTTCTGATGGTGGTGGTGGTGGTTCCTCTGGGGTCAGTACTGGGGGAACATGGTCAGCAGCTGTTTCAGGAGCTTCTTTCTTAACTTCAACTGGAGTTGCAACCTTTGACTGAGGTTTTACTAGAATAAAGATATGATTATTTGGACATCTTAAAGTTTAATTTTATTTATCTTTAATATAAACAGGGTTAAGATAAAAATTAAGTGTTAATGATCACAAGAAGAATGGCATATTTGTTATAATGCCCTTCAACAACTAAGGTCTTTAAGGGGAGCATCCGACAGAAGCACAAAATTCGTTAATATCTAATTAATCAATAGCAATTTCCTGTCAGCAATTAAGGACTCCAGATACATTGTTGCAATACCCTGAATCAGGGCTCCTTAATCCCTGATTTTTCCCTTATATTGTATTACTATAAATTTTCAAAATCCTACTTCTTGCTAGATTACATTGAAATTCATGTGAAGTATACGTAATTTACTCCTCTTGAACGTTAAATACAGATGTTTCTGATTATCACTTTCGTTTTGGGTGCATGATTTTTTTTCTAACTTATCATTTTTTCCTCCAAATATTTATAAAGATAAATCAGTAAATAATAAACCAAACCAAATATAAAGAAAATCTATATCTTCAGCGATGTACTATATTATGTTATGCTATTACATAGTTTTTGTTTTATTAGAATTGACCCATAAATTGCAAAGACTTGGGGATTTGAAGGTTAGAAAAACTCATTTTGAGATACGGGGTGAGAAGGTTGTGAGAGCAACACATGGTCAAAACTCGCTCTCGCTTCTTTCATCGGTAACTGACACTCGTCCTGCTAACTAGCTGAGAAAGGGGCCAGATAATGATTTTTACCATGTGATTGATATTACCTTTCACCAAAATATTATTTTACAGGTTGGGTATCGTTTACCCGAAATATTTGGGGCCTAAAGGGTCTCGGATTTGGGATATTTTCGGATTTTGAAATACCTGTACAGAACCTGTATAATGGGGTAGCTCACCCAGCAGGGATGGGGCCTAAGTCTATGCATAAAATTAATTTATATTCATTTACAGTATTATTTGGATGTATATATTCTGCAGGTCGTTTTATGAAAAACATAATTAATTATTTTGGGTATAAAATATATGATAAGATGTACACTAAGAACAAAAAGGTAAGCAATCACTACCGTCTGTTTGGCATCGCCATGACGCCTGACTCTGAGATGTTAAGCAGCCTGTGTCTTACCTTTATTCATTACACATACATACTTATCCTAGTAAAAATTATGATATATGCCATATTCAGTGTAATATCTACCATAAATATAATGAAATAGACTTTTGGATTTCATAGCATTTTGGACTTGGGGGAATTTCGAATAAGGGATACCCAACCTGTAAATAATTGTCTACAGGTTTAGCTACATAAACAGAAGGGACCTATAAATGAAGAGGGGGGATAAAACAAGCATTCATAGTTGCATAAATATTATGAATTATAATAAAAATACAGTAAGTTAGCAGATAGCTATAGGCAACAGCTTTCCTCCATAATTTTTCTTAATATTTTTGTAATTTTCCGATTTTCATTTTATTTTCAGCCAGGTGCTCCCCTTAAGCATGTAACAAAGTTTATTATTACACTATTCTATCTAGAATTAAAAATTATGGGAGATAAATCTCTCTTATACAGTACGTAATGTACTGTATATGCAGATCCAAATATTATGGTTATGTAGGTAATCAATCACAAACATTTCATAATACAGTATTAAACACACCTTGAGCAGTGTACAATACTCCCACTTATAATAAAACTACAGTACCTCCTGCAACAAAATTGTAGCCGATGGTGCCATAATCCTTCACATTCTCAGTACGCACTTTGAGAGATCTGGTAAGCTTGGCGGGGGTAGCAGAGAGAGGCAGTAGCTGGTGTAAAAAAAAATATATAAATATTAAAATTAACCACAGGATCAAGTATGAAATGCATGTCAAAGCAGATAATCAACAGCGAAGGTAATCACCTGAACCTGAAGCGAACTTTCACACTAATACCTAAAGTTTGGTTAAGTTATGTCATGTATAAGGTAGGCTCAAGGTCCATAGATTACTGAGTACCAATGACTATATATATACAGTAAAACCTCGATTAACCGACTTTCGGATTAACCGTCAATCCCGAACCCCTAAATATTTTTTATTTATTTTTTACTGGGATTAGCCCACCCGGGCACAGGTCACTGACCCACATCGGGGCATGGGGGGCAATAATGTAATAATATTAATAATGATAATAATAATAATAATAATAATAATAATAATAATAATGATAATAATAATAATAATAATAATAATAATAATAATAAAGAACCATAAAGAAATGCAAAAATGAAAAATAAATCAAGAGTGAGAAACAATGTACCTGTATGTATGTTGTGTTGTCAATTGTAAGAGAAACAATTGAGACCCTGCAATTGTGTGTAAATGAGGCAGAAAGTCAGATCAGCAACCTGGGACTTGGTCACAATTTTAGTGATGAAATATGGTATTTGACTTTTCCATTTTATTCAGTTTCTGTGCTGGTTCATATTCATTTACTAAAGTGGTTAATGTTTTAAGGCAAATTCTATTGATATATGAATGCCAAATGAACAAAAATGAATAGAGGACTTAAACGATGTAGGTTAGGGAAGGTACTTTAAATGTATGTTTATTTCCGTAGACTTTATATACTATTAACCGACCTTTTGGATTATCCGTCGGTCCTTCCCCATATGTGGTCGGTTAAAAACACACACACACACACACACACACACACACACACACACACACACACACACACACACACACACACACACACACACACACACACACACACACACACACACACACACACACACACACACACACACACACACACACACACACACACACACACACACACACACACACACACACACACACACACACACACACACACACACACACACACACACACACACACACACACACACACACACACACACACACACACACACACACACACACACACAAGCTGAATATGTCGACGACCCACCATTGGGATCAGCGTCAACAATTGCTCCCAACTATACATCTTCAGGATTTATTGAACAGTCTCCAAAACTGGGCCACCAACAACCATGTCACCATCAACCATACCAAGACCATGGTTATGCACATCAACCTCTCACAGTGTCCCACCTCCTTCCATTACTCTAGGTACAGAACACACTCAGGTTGTAGATTCCACGAAGCTCTCGGCGTCACCATAGACAACAAACTAAATTGGAAACCACATGTCAGTGAAGTCATCAAATCCTCCAGTTTCGTCTCCACCTCCTCCATGACTCAAGTCCCTCGGAGTTCCTGCAACAGGCTCCTCAGTGTTTACACAACATTCATACTTCCCAAGCTCACCTGCCTCCCCCACCTGGTCTTCTCCCTAAATACCAAACAGCCAAACACCTAGAAAAAGTGCAAAAGAGGCATGCAAGATTATTCTCTCCCTTCCTACTCCACATATCAAGAAAGCGCTCAACACACTGACCCATTGACTCTCACTGACCATCACCAGGCCTCATCTGCAATTTGGTAGAAAGCTACACCATCGACACCGGCTCCTACTACCACCTGAGATCCTTGTCCGAGAATTGCTGTTCGACACCACAACGCATTCAGCCCATACGTGCAGACTGATCGCTATAAGAACAGCCAGTCCCAACCATTGTAAAATTATCAATAACGTAATAAATCAGTGTATTCACTCCAGTAAACACTGCCCACACTGTCACTATGTTGAAATGAACTGTAGTTTGAGCTTTTCACATCTAGTTATTATATGTCTTATTTGTGTCACTTATGTTACTTGTATATTATTTGTAATTAACCCATTCCCCGTATATTTTTCAGCCTTCTGGCTGCCAAGCTCTTTCAATAAACCGTTAATTATTATTATTATTATTATTATTACACACACACACAAGTATTACCTGCTTTGCGGTTTCACTTTCACGATTTCTCTAAACTAGCAGTACCTACCACTACTTTCCGCAGTGCATCTACTCATATCTCTGCGGTGAAGTATAATTTTTTTATTTAGCTCTAGTTCATACAAATTACCCGGCCAGAATATAATTTACATTGCTGGAATTCTTACAATATGATGATCATTTTGAATATAAACATCATGGTTTTGCATTAGACAGACAAATTTTAGATTGAATGTAATAATTTGGTTTACACAAAGCAAGTATTTTATCTTTTGTGCAAAATATGAAGTTTATTCAAAATATTCCTGACCTGCAAGAAATACAGAAATGTCAATTATATTATCTAACTTTAGTCTGAGTTATTATTTATTACTAAAATGTAAATTTATTTTTCTCCCAGCTTCTCTGGTAGGGAGGGAGGGACGGACCCAGCTAGGGTGGAGTATTTTGATTGACAGATAGTGTCCTTGAAGAATATTTCTTTGTTTATTTACTGAAGATATATGTTTTATCTCATAAAATTCATACAAATTACCCGGCCAGAATATAATTTACATTGCTGGAATTCTTACAATATGATGATCATTTTGAATATAAGCATCATGGATTTTGCATTAGACATACAAATTTTAGATTTAATGTAATAATTTGGTTTACACAAAGCAAATATTTTATCTTTTGTGCAAAATATATGGCGTTTACATTCAAAATATTCCCTGACCTGCAAGGAATAGAAATGTCAATTTATTATCCTAACTTTAGTCTGAGGTAATATTTATTACTAAAAGTTAAAATCTAGTTTTTACACCCAACATTTCTCTGGTAGGGAGGGAAGGTGGGGGGTGGGGAAGAGTTGGGACCAACCGACCATCTGGCGGCAGTTGGAAGAGGGAAGAGCAAATTGGACTTTTGATTGACAAGGTTTTAACAAATGCGTTAGTAGAAAAATGGGTGCGGCACGTGGATGGCGGCTGGTTCGAGCAAAGGGCAGATTAGTTGCCCTCGGTGAATCACTTTTACTTTCACTTCGCAGAGGTTTGCCACGACCTCCCAGACAAACCCTCAAAGTCCATATCCTCACTGTCAATATCACTATCACTGACTTGGGCTGGCTGTGGTTGTGGTGGGTTCTTGAGCGAAGCCCTCAATACTAGGTTGACGACTAGCATTGATGTTGTCGAGATAGATCTGGATATACGGTTCCATAAATTTCGTCAGATGGTTATTAGGCGCTTCACGATGCTTGTCTGGTGCCGTTGTTAAGATAGAGCTTAATTTTCTCCCCCAACTAGATGATTTCCTTCACACAATCATGGCGTAGTCAGGTAATTCAATGTTTTCTCTGGTGGTGGGGTCCTGTGGACATTGTGAGTTATGAGGGAATAGCGGGCAGAAGAACTGTATATGCAGACAAAGAACAAATGAGACAGGCCTGCTAGGTCACGGCTTCTTCCCTCCGTGGCAGAGGCACGTCATATTACATTAAACCAATCACAGCTAGAGGGGAGGAGGTAAGGATCGTGGCCCAATCACAGTCTGATCGTCATATGGCGTCTATACTTATAACAGCGACACACTGCGCAACCTTACTGGCACCGCTTCCCCCCGCTTATGGTCAAGCATGGCGGGATGGTGGGCTGCTTGAATCCAAAATGGTAGCGGCGCATCTGAATCTCCAGCTGCCGGCGTAAATGACCAAATTTACCGCGTAATTAAAGCATTTCAATTCTGGCAAGGCACCGTGTAAATGACCAAACGCTGTAACCAAAACCGCGTAAATCCAGACTCAACTGAATACTGTATACTGACAGAAAGAAAATGAATTACAATTAAGCAATACACAGACAGGGGTAATAAAGATCATATGCAATACTCATAACATAAACAACAGGTGTGAGAGAGAAGTAGCACATCCCTCATAAACAACAGGTGTGAGAGGTAGCACATCCCTCATAAACAACAGGTAGGCCTATATGAGATAGCACATCCCTCATAAGCAATAGGTAGGCATATATGAGATAGCACATCCCTCATAAGCAATAGGTAGGCATATAAGAGGTAGCACATCCCTCATAAACAACAGGTAGGCCTATATGAGATAGCACATCCCTCATAAACAACAGGTAGGCCTATATGAGATAGCACATCCCTCATAAGCAATAGGTAGGCATATATGAGATAGCACATCCCTCATAAGCAATAGGTAGGCATATAGAGGTAGCACATCCCTCATAAACAACAGGTAGGCCTATATGAGATAACATCCCTCATAAACAACAGGTAGGCCTATATGAGATAGCACATCCTCATAAGCAATAGGTAGGCATATGAGATAGCACATCCCTCATAAGCAATAGGTAGGCATATAGAGGTAGCATCCTCATAAAACAGGTAGGCCTATATGAGATAGCACATCCCTCATAAACAACAGGTAGGCTATATGAGATAGCACATCCCTCATAAGCAATAGGTAGGCATATAAGAGGTAGCACATCCCTCATAAACAACAGGTAGGCCTATATGAGATAGCACATGCCTCATAAGCAATAGGTAGGCCTATATGAGGTAGCACATCCCTCATAAGCAACAGGTAGGCATATAGTAGCACATCCTTCATAAGCAACAGGTAGGCATATAAGAGGTAGCATATCCCTCATAAACAACAGGTAGGCCTATATGAGGTAGCACATCCCTCATAAGCAACAGGTAGGCATATAAGATGTAGCACATCTCTAATAGACAGGTAGGCCTATAAGAGGTAGCACATCTCTCATAAACAACAGATAGGCCTATAAGAGGTAGCACATCCCTCGTAATCAATGCATGTATGAGAGCACATCCCCTATTCCTCATAACCTCCAAGATAAAAAAACACAAGTGATGTGCAACAGAGACACATCACCAGGCTTTTCAGTATCATCTCTACAGTTGAATGATTAGCAAAAAAGCATCTTCAATACTGTACAGTACCTCCATTTTTTCTTTTTATAAGCCAATTTCATTTATTAACTATTTCTTACCCCCACAAACATACAAACAAATGTCAGCACAATACAACTGACAGCTGCAGATGTAATGTATGTGTAATCTGTCAACTAAAGTCATTATGGCATATCACCAGCTGATAGGCAACATTCTGCACAAAATAAAGGTTACAAACACTAGCTTTGCCAAAAAATAACTTGTCATATATAACTCAGTATAATTACTTTTTTAAATATTAAATTCATTCATGAACATTGGCAATAAATCTATAAATCCATCATGACTGTATAAATCAAATCTGGATAGTATACAGGGGGTTATTTACATACAGAAAATATTCCAACATACAAATGACGCCAGCGGACGTGTAGAGAACTTTCTTGACAAAACCTCCTTTCTTGCGGCACCCCAACAACCAGGTGCCAGGCCTCCAATAGTGATGGCACCAGCACGAGGCAACATGTTCTCCTCATCTGTTATGTAGTCCACCGTCGCTGTTACGGAACCAACAACCACGTCAGTAAACAATAACATAAGGTAATTCTTTACATCCCTTATACATGTATGTAAAAAATATAATTATAAGTTGATGTAAGGCGTAGTATTATAGGTAATAAAAGCATACAGTAGAAGGTACGAATACATAAAGCAACAGTTAAATCTTAAAAGTATTGCAAAAGAGAGAACATTCCATTTAATAAGGAAAAGAAAGCGTTCACACTTTAAGTAAAAGTAATGAAACATTCTTATGTTAAGATGATAAAAGTGAAAAACATTAACTGCCACCACACTTTCCCCCTTGGATACAGCCAATAAATGCAAAGAGATCCTAAACAAACCGAGAAATCATAGAATTTACATTGTCAGTACTGTATACTGCTGCCCAATAACAGCACTATACAGTTTTCCTTTCCCTAAATAATGGTAAACTTCTTTGGCCACATCTACCCTGCCATTCTACACACTATAGTACAGTACGGTGGTCCCTTGGTTAGGCACAATCCGTTCTAGAAGGTTGCTCGTTAACCGAAAACTCGTTAACCGAAACCATTGTTTCAATGGGTTTTGGGGTAATTGGTTCCAGCTCACCGAAAATTGCCTAAATTCAACAAAAAGGTAAAAGTACACTTACTTTGGGTGTTGTATGAAGGCTCCTGGATGATGATGATGATGATGATGATGGGAATTAGAATGGGGTGGAGGAAAGGAAAGAGGCATTGGGGTGGAAGAGAAGTCACCCCATGGTGCCATTTCACCCATAAAATTTTAGTTCTCTTGGTGTAATTCAAGATTATTTTCTTTAAATCAACACTGCACTGCATTATATATTGTCAATATGTAATAAATTTCAAAATGACCAATAATTTGTTTGCAAACACAGAAAAACATTTAGTTGAAGAGTCTCAAGCAAGATGTTACCTCCACTGAAAAGACACAAAGACTGGAGGCTGTTTGGTGTGTTGACAGGCTGGATGGCGGCGAGATAAAACTAGCTCCTTACCTTCAATTATGTTCAATAATAGTTAAAATGACTAAAAAATTTAATATTAAACTTTTAAAATTATTGAATAGTATAAACTTCTTGATATTTACTGAAATATTAAGGAATTTACGCCCTAGAACCGATTACTGTATTGGCGGACTCATACTACAGCTGGTGGACCGCCAAGCAAGCTTCATGTTAGGTCAGTTTCGAAGAAACTCGTTAATCGAGGGATTGCTCGTTAACCAAAGTTAAGAATCTTATGGAAGGTAACTTGTTAACCGAAATCTTGTTAACCGGCGGCGCTTAACCGAGGGACCACTATACAGTATTTCCACGTTAACCTGACACACAAGCCACGCCCCTCTTCTACAGTATACTAATAGCCGATTGGTTCACAGAAAATTTAAACTAAATGCATTCACAACTGGAAAGAAGACCTGTTACTGTATTATCTAAAATAATGTTAAATATCTGAACTATCAAAATGCAAATGATTTCAAGGCATTAGTACTGTACTTCACAGTGGATGTTAGAAAATTGTAAATATTTATCATAAAATGTCGATATTCTGGCGTTTATATACGTGTAGTCCAGGAGGAGGTAAAATGCTCAGGGGAACCAATCAGCTATTTGTAGCTATAGACGGCTTATGGGCCAGGTTAGCATGGAAAGGGTATAGTCTCTTGCATATTTTAAAATTTACTCACACCATTTATTTCTTCTATTTACTCTACTCTGCTTTTCTGTATCATAAAAGTTTTCCTTACTAATGATAACTCCTATTCATTGTCAACTTTCTCTCCATAGCTTCTCTACATAATCTACAAATGACCTTCATACAGTATTTCCGTATTATGATCAATTTAATCTAAAAATTGCTAAGCAGAAGGTAGGTGAGGCCAATACCTAAAGTACTGTACAGGGCACCGGCTTGGACAATTTCATTTATCATCCGATTTCCCAGATTTTTATATACAGTATGTTATGCATATCTATACAGTATATCCAAGTTTCAAGCATTTTTTATTATTATTATTATTATTATTATAAAAAACCTAATTTTCAAGAAATTTAATTTTGAAATACCTCTGCCATCCCATGAAGAATTTTCTTGCAAATAATTTGTGTGATAGTTATCAACATAATTAACGATTTGTTGTAATTACACAATATAGTACTTTTTTTATATTTAGCAAAGTATTAATTTTTATTTTGTTTATACTACGTATATTCAACCTCTTCTAAACGTTTTTTTTATAACAAAAAAGTATGTCAAACAAATTCTTTGATTTCTTTGCCCTTTCAAATATGACCTTTTTTTTTTAAATTGGTTCATAAATAGTGAAGAAATTTATGAAAATGATGGGCGAGCAATGAATCATACATCTGACCGCTTCGACAGTCGAGGCTGACTTCCCTTTATTTGAATGCTAGCCCCACCTCCGTCCTCCCTCCCTCTCTCCACATCTCAGTAGCATACCAGAAAGATGCCAGAAAGAAGTAAGTTATCTTTTCTAGTTTATTTTCTATGAATATTTTACTGGAGATTGTTGTTAAGTATCAGAATGACCTTGAATACACACGAGGAGGGGGCGACTAACTGTCCATTTATTTGCCAAATCTCTGTAAATAACTTTGATATTATGGGAGTGGCTACTGGAAGGGCACAGAAAGCTCTTAAGATTTTTCTTTTTTTCTATTATCTTAAATATTTTTTTACCATCTCCCTTAAGTTGGTTTCCTTAAAGACAACACAACGTACAGTAGGTCAGTTAACCAAATTAATGATTACAGTAAAGTTTATGACCTACAACTATATTCTGTCTGTCAAATATCATTCTTTCCATTTTTTTGTGAAGTAAATAATGGGGAACAGAAACCTCAAAGAAAGAGGAAATAATCGGGGACAGAAGTTTAAGAGGTGTAAAAAATCGTGTAATGGCTAAACTTAAAAATAAATAAAAGTAAAAAATAAATAAATTAAATATATATATTGTATACAGGTATATATATTAAAAAGAGTAAAAAAAAAAATATATGGAAAAATGTACAAGTTGACACATTCACTGCCTCCATCACTGTTTACAGCTAATGGGCTTTAATAAATATTCAATTGCTACACTGACTCGGGCCTCAATTTTCTATATTCATACTTCACACAACATAACTAGACAGAAAAAAAAATGAAAATGCGTTAAGACCAGGAAGCATGATTCACACTACAGGTACTGCATGTACTGGACGAGCTCAGTTATGTGATACCATATCTGATAATACTGTACACATATCCCTTCAGCAACACAGGAGTTAAGTTAGTGAAAACCTCACGAAGACCAAAAATTGCAATGTTCACCTACGGGAAGATACAGGAAGCTAAAATTGCCAAAAAATTAAGAAAAACCCACTCCATAACACATTTACTTCCCACATATGCTCTTTATAGTTCTTGTCTTATAGTTTAATATTATATTCTCCATATTTGTAAGCCACATTAGAGTACAGTATTGTATTGCAATAATTTTTCACAACCCTTTGGTTAATACAAATAACAATTTCTGGCGGCTGGGCTGGTAGTCGGTCATGCAGTTAATAACCATGGCCTTGGCTTGAACTGCCGCCATACATGTTCACTTATCACACATACATACCCATGATCCTCGTTTTCTTGTTTTATTTTATATTTTCTTTATTTCTGAGCCCCCATTAGAGTATTGCAATGATTATTTGACAACTTTTATAGTTTCATTAAAAGCAACACTAATCACGGCAGCTAGGCTGGCAAGTCGGAGATGTAGTTATAGCTCACCACCTACACACACATTCACTTCTCACATACAGTCTGCGCGGAATATTAAATCGCGATAGGGCCGACGAACCAAGTTCTCGCAAAAATAAGATCATATGTTGTAAAGGCTGTCCTGGGATGCGAGATAATAAGCGCGGTTTGCTGGCAAGTGGTGACATTTGGCAACTGAGAACACGTCACAGCTTGTAGTCAGTGTGCCTCTGGCAACTGTGAGGAATTTTGTGCGGGTTCGCGCCATGTGGCCATCTTTGTCTAGTTTAAGGTGCATTAACCCGACATAGTGGCCATCAGAGATCAGGAGGGTTACTACAGAAGGCGATATTGCAGCAGTGATTGCATTGTACAAAGCGAACCATGTACTGAGAGAATTTCGGCTCAGACTGGTATGGCATTACTGGTTGATCAAAATCTTGTCAAACGTTCCGTGACCTTGGAAGGGCCCGAGTTACCAGTTCCATTACCTAAGTCTGGTAGGCCTAAATTATTGTCTTCATGGACACTTAAGGTTATTTCTCGACAAGTTCGGTCCAATCACTCACTCACAGCACGTGAAGTGAAAGAGAGAAACCCCTGTCTTTTGAGTCGAGTCACGTCTCGTTACGTTGAGTTCAACAAGCCCAGCACGATGACCTGGGATTTAAGAGCTTTCGTGCCCGCCGTAAACCTCTGTTGACAAAGAGACAGAAGGAAAATAGAGTGAAATTTTGCAAGAAATATGAAGTGTGGGATTTAGAGACATGAAAAAGTGTATTGTGGTCCGACGAGGCTACGTTTTTTGTGACTGGAAGTAGTGGTGGGAGGGTGTACCGCCCGCCCCACTCAGACGCACACCTCCCACAGTACACTGTAAAGACTGTTAAGCACCCTGCCTCGCTTATGGTTTGGGCTTCCTTTACGTATTATGGTGTTGGTGAACTAGTAATCCTCCCTAAGAACCAGATGATGAATCAGTACAACTATCTTGAACTGCTCAGTGATTTCTTACCTGAATCATTTGATAAAGCTAAGGCAAGCCTTTTCAGGCAGGACGGTGCCCCATGCCACACTGCTAAAAGTGTCATACAGTGGCTCAAAGACTGTTAGGTACCTTTCTTTAATGACTGGCCTGGCAGTAGTCCAGATCTTAACCCAATAGAAAATTTTTGGTCCATTGTTAAGCATTGTCTGCGCGACACTGACACATCATCAATCCCGAAGCTAGA